CTCAGACAGATTTTCAGGCATGGTCGTAAACATTACCTCGTTTTCGCGTTTTTGAACTCTGTTCGTCAGTTTTCAGTTGTGTTTCGGAAATTTAAATATAAATGAGATAATTCAATGATCACTCTGTCTTCTTATGAGTTTTAATGTAATTGCAGTAATAAAAAATTAGTGTAGAAATAGCTGTGATAGACTGGGCTAAAATTTTTATAAAACTTAATCCAACTGTTTAGTTGCATCACAATATATGTCACAAACTAAAACTATCTTAAAAATATCTTTCAAGTATACATTATCAAAAACTGTTTGCGGCCCTTTTTACAATTTTCAAAATGCAATGCGGCTCTCGAAAACCCGTGAGTTTGACACGACTGATCTGTTCTAAAAGATTCAAGCATTGCTTTGCGAAATATTATCACTTCAATAAAATTGAAAAAAATCTCGCTATATTAAATACAAAATCGTTACTATCATAAAGGTAAACCAATTCAGCCACTCGAAATATATTGGGCTTCACAAAGCAATGGAGGCAAGATTGAGAGTTTATGAGCTATGAACATTTGTTCTTTTCTTTGTCTTGAACTTTTCATACTCCACAGCCCCTCTTAATTTTTCAATTCTAATTACCATGTGATGGTCATACATATCTTTAACTTGTATTTTCTGTCATGATGTATTATCTCAATGTGTCAAACTATTAATTAGTGTGCATATTTTGCTTCAAGATGTCATAAATGTATTGTCTTGTTTATTACCTCTGCTTGGAGTATGGACAAGAAAAAGGTGCCAGTAAATTAGGTAAAAACAATTTTTAACTCTTTGTTATAATCAGAATTCACAATTAATAGGAATTATAAACAGCCAACAATCAATGAGAATTATATGCGAAATCCCTCAGAATAAATTTGTCTAAAATCGGAGGAAGACAAAACATATAGATAGTTTCCATCCACACAAGCATTTCAAGAAGACTTGCTCGAGCCAAACTAAATGAGCATCGTCAGGTGATCGGTAATGCTGCAAGTTGAATTCAGCCCTGCAACCTCCTGCATAGAAGATAATATTAATTAGTGGGCTATGAGCTAAATTCCTAAATTTAAACAAACCTATCTACGATGCATTATGTACCAGCAATGTTACCTACGATTAACTGAATATGTAATATGTCTAATAAATTCACCTACAAAAGCAAGTTCGATAGGGGCAAACTTTGTGTTATGGAATTGTATCACAGAACCGTTAAGAGAAGTAAAAACATTTTTGCTGTTTTGTATGACACCCTCATTGAATGAAATTTCAATGTTTAAGCGCAAACATTAAAATTACTAACTTTGAATTTTGTCAATATCTGCAAAATGTTCCACTCAAATCCTTCCGCTATCGCGTTTCTAATCTTCTCTGATAAAAAAAATCGTCTATGATGTCCAGAATTGCTCTTTACAACTTGTCTGCCATTCCAGCTTTCTAAGTGAGCAAACCTTCTTAGATATAAAGACTATTTTCTTTCGTTACAGGCGCAAAAAGGCAGGTACTACACGGAAAAAAGACGCCGAGCAGCAAAAGCGAGCGGAAAACGGTCGCGAAAGGCGACGAGAGATATGTGCATTGGAGCGTATCATGAAATACAATCTTTCGCCTGTAGTCTTATGGAGTGACGTCAGAGTTGCCTATCATGTTGTTTAATGTCATTGGTCAGACTAAGTCAAATTTTACCAAGGAATTATTTATTATTTGACTAGTAGAATTGTCATTATTGCCGACTTATTTAATCATAATTTGAACTCAAAATAGTGCTCAGGATTCACCCGATGACTTTGCATGGTTTTTATTCACTATTGGATACGAAAATAAAACAGCCACAGTAGAAAAGTATGATCAAAAATCAAGAAGGTTAACTATCGTCTTCATAATTATCCGCATTCCGGCGTCAGAAATGATAATATTTTCAGCTCAAAATTGGGACAGTTAATTTACAAACGGTGACAAGAGAGATCAAAGCCGACCCAAAAGATAAAAATCGGAATAAAATCCCGAGTTCAACTCGATATTCGACAATTCGTTAAAATTATTCGATTCATTGAAAATATACTACAGTACTTTGCCCGATCTGTAATTATAGTCTAAACGCTGATGCAATGAAACTTAATAAAACCTTCAGAAATTTAGAAAAATTCCTCTACTTCACAAGCGTGGTGGAATTGACGATTATTTCATTCATAACTTGAACACGAAAACGGTTATCTTTTTTTTACCCGAACGTGAAAAGATACGTCCAGCGGTGAAAATTGTTTATAACAACTTTAAACCTATTTTGTGTTTTTGGCGATAATGAATAATTGTTGTAATGAAATACAGTTTGTTTGCCCCTTTCCTTTCTCTCGCAAGTGCCGACAATAACACTATTAAATGATTTTGGCAATGGGAGAAACGTATTGACTTGTAACAAAAATGAATTGGGTTGTGAAAAAGTGAGAATACGAGTGATAACAAGAGAGCAACGCTCAAATATATGGACACGTTGACTAGAGCGAAGCAGGGTTTACCTTTGACGTTACCGGTACCGTACCCTCAAAAAGTTCCGGGTTTTCAGTCGCAAGAATTTTCACAGTCAGCCGTCACGCTTGGCGGATTAAAAACCGTGTTCCCATAATTAAAAATAAATACAGCGCAATTTTGGATGAAATATTAGATCTCATAAGATTCATAGAAAATTCAGGAATAAATGAAAGTAATAGCCTTCTGGCAAAAAAATCAATCTTGAACCACTGAAAATTCCAAAGCAATTGGTCCAGTATTCGAAGAGAAAAGCGATTTTTTAATGATAATGACGAAAGAAAATAACAATAACAACAAAATTTTGAAACGATCGTTATGGCCACTAAACGTGTCCAATAATAAGGGCATAACGTGGAAGGGCGAGCAAAACCGAAGCGCGTGATCGGCGGTGCGTTTGAAGACCACGTATTACCCATGCGGCCGCGCGACTTACAATAATGTGAGGTGCTCCGAAGACGCTCTCGTTTGCTTTAAATTTGTAACTATTAACCATTTGTTCGCGTTCGAATATCGCACTCTTCATGACTAGAAAATGTTCGTGTTTTGTGATAGGTGTGCCACGAAAATTGAAAGAGCTAACTAGTGTGCCACGATTTAAAAAAAAAGGTTGGGAACCATTTACTTACATTTTTTTTCAATTTACATATACTTAGTTCGACTTTTTCTTCTTTATAATATAGTATTAATCTTATTTTATGGGCGCCGGTTCTCAATAACCAGTACTGGTTTCCCGCGTCTCCTTCACCCTGAAATATGACCTATTTATAATTTATTGCAATTTGTATGTCTGTGCCTATTTTAAAGTATGGTGAAAAATAAACTACTTACTGATAGATGCTTTAATATTTCCGCGCCGATATTACATGAAATAAATACGTAATTTTATTGTCATGCAAGTTGTTTCGATCTTTTACTTGAACCCGAAAAATCCCGGGATTATACGGCTCAATCCCGGAATATCCCGATACCGGGATTTCAAAAACTGGTCCCGAAATGCTAACCGTAATTTATACCCTATTCACATCAGAACCTGGGACATGAACGTGCCATAAACTGCCTATTGTACATATCATCGTGGTGCAGTACCTCTTTGTCCTGTGTATTGTACAAGAGTTTTATTTGTATATTTCATGTCTGTTGTCCTACTATAACGCAGCAAAATTCGGCTGTTGCTCTGATGCCTCTTGAACTTTCGTCCGAGAATTTGATTTATACCTGCTCGCTGTTCATATTTATTTTCAGCTAATCGAAATAATTCCGATGCGAGAGATCGATGGCGTTTGTACCGTACGGTACCCGTACCGGTATTTGTTTACGTGGATGCGGACGCCATAACGCAAAAAGCTCTATATATTCTGTCGTCACGTTGACGTAATGTTTGGATTACATCATCAGATGGGGCCAGGAATGACATATCTGCATATGTAGAAATTGTTTAGCCACACCCGCTAAAAGTATTACCGGTACACTGGACGTACGTGAGACCCACAGACTTTTCGGTCACAAAACTTCACTGGTACCGTACCTGTACCCGTACCGTTACCGGTACTACCGTATGGTTCGTTCTTCAATCGCCTTGGGAGTTGCGAAAACGAGAAGAACGGTACGTACCTACCGTACCTACCCACAACTGCATAACGATACAAATTACAGAATTATGATGTAACTTTAGCTCTAAGTTGAATAATGCAAAATAATTTCAGTTCTATAGGTAACATTCGGTGACTGGCTTGATACAGTGATAACGGTACCGGTACCGGTACCACACTTCTTGAACAGTAAATGTTGCTTTTCTATTTATTCTTTCTCAAATCTGTATGTGGCAATACAGCAATATGCAGAATAAATATATATTTTCTAGAATTACGATTTTGATCAGATCAGCAGATAGTCTAACTACTGCTGTACTGACCTATTAAACCTATTACTTACAGTATTACCAGTATCAGATTTGTTTCTCCAAATACAGCTGAATACTGGAATAGTGAATACCAGTATTTCACTGTTTTGTAACAGTAGTCTACACCTGCAGAAGCTTCAAACCAGCCATGTTGAAATAAATCACATATTCGAGTACATGTAAACTAGTTATACTGTACTTCATACTGTCATACAATATATTCATTCAAAAAATTCACCATTACAAGCATTTGACATCAAGATGGTTAGACCTAATCAGGCATGTAGGCTATATACTATAAAGTCTATCTGAGCAATGTTTGCCTTAACTATACTACAATGCGAAATTCAATCTTCATGGATTCACCCTGATTTATTCGAAAAATAAATTCAATTTTATGCATTTTTGCTCCGAACATTTTTAAAGTCAGAAAGTGCTAAACTGTTTTGTATACTTTGAGTTTAATTTTTTGCCAAACATTCATCGACAGCATGTTCCTAAAACTTCAGAACTTGCAGTGTGGTGCCATCTTTAAGAGTGCCATCCAGAATCAATTGGCACAACTAACGATTTATGATTTATTTTGAATTTTCATTCTAGTCTATCATCTAGTTATTGATTTTAAAATATTTAAAGAACATGGCAGACAGTGAACTAGATGTTGATGGATTAATAAAACGCCTTCTTGATGGTTAGTACTAACTTTTTAATTTCAATTCCAAGATATGATTAACTTCTCTAACCAAATAGGCTATTACCGGCGTGGCAGTGTCAGAGTGTGGCTCATCGTGATAAGCGTTAGTAATACGCTCGACCACTGCACCTCTGATTACTCTTCGTGGGTTTCTCAGGTTCAACATGCAGACATGCATGGATGGTCATGTGCGAGAGGATTGCTGGACTCCTCGCCGCCGTAGGGTGGTTCACGTAACCTCTGGTCCAGTGGTCGGTTATGGCTTCCTCCACCATCAAGTCCATGCTTGCAAAAAATAACTGACTAATCCCATCCCCGACATGGAATGGTAACCGGATGAGAGGCCGTGGTTTGTCATATGGATAAGCCGTCTTATCGGCTTTCCTCTCCCCCAGGATAAATATGTAAATCCTATCCTATTATCTTTTTTTCATTTATTAATAAAATATGGGTTTATGCAGAAGAAACTGTCATACAGTCATATAGCCTTATATCACCTTCTGACCTTACTGCAAGATCTTTAATGCTAATCTTACTTTGAAAGCATTTCGTAAACACCATTCTCTATATTTCAGTTCGTGGGGGCAGACCGGGGAGAACAGTACAAATGACAGAAGCAGAAATTAAAGGTCTTTGTATCAAATCAAGAGAAATATTTTTAAGTCAACCTATTCTTTTGGAGTTGGAAGCACCATTGAAAATATGTGGTGAGATAAAATCATGATCTTGAATTTAGTTTTCCTAATTTAAATATGTGATTTTATTGAGAAATTCAATCAAGTTCAACTGAAGTTAAGAGCTAGGACAATACAATATGGCACAGTTCTCCGATTCTAACATAACTCACATATTGAAAGATATCGATTATAACAGTTGAGTGCAAACCCCTCCTTTACGAGACAGTCTGGGCCTCTATATAGGCGAAAATCAGCAATTCGGAACTGTGCAATAAACTAAAAGGAAGCACAATCTGAAAACACCACCATCACATTCCTCAGAAAAAAATAAGTCGATTTATTGAATAAAAAAAAAACTTTAGCATTCAATAATTTTGATCATGTGACGGCTGCAATTAATTTAGATTATTATCCCCGTTTCAGAGACAAATAAGGTGTTTGTTTTAATAAACCAAATGTCGGGAAATCTTGGAATCTGAGAACTTTCCCTACTGCAACAGCTCAAATGAATTTCCTTGACAAATATAATACAGAAAATAATATTGTCTGTAATGTCACAAGAATATTCTCTTACTAGTCCAACTGTACAAATTGATAGACCAATCTTTAATCGAAGAATTTAATAAATAAAATGTAAATATGATGATCATACCTAATTTATTATACGAATGTTTCATTAATTTTAGGAGACATCCACGGACAGTATACAGATCTATTACGTTTATTCGAGTATGGTGATTTTCCGCCAGATTCTAATTACCTTTTCCTCGGTGATTATGTGGATCGAGGAAAACAATCTCTAGAATGTATTTGTTTGTTATTGGCATACAAGATCAAATATCCTGAAAACTTTTTTCTACTTCGAGGGAATCATGAATGTGCCAGCATCAATCGTATATATGGATTTCATGATGAATGTAAGTAGGAGCATATATCAGTTTGATATTCTAGAATTTCACTGTACAATTTTTGATTTACGAAAAGTGTAGACACCAAAAGTCTGATAGGGTGGTTGTATGCCTTTATGTTGGAATGTAAATTTGAATTTTTTTATTGTGCAGTATGTTCATTAATCATTAGTCTCAATTTCTAAGAATATTATCACTTTTAATTTGATTAATCATAACACTACAGTATGACACTATCTATGTTGATTCGTGGTATTGATTACAGTAAACATTGATTTAACAATGGGGGAAACCATTGAATAGGAGTAAATTATATTTTCTCTGTGTATTAATTAAGCAAGGAAATTACGGCATATAGAATATGCTGTATATCAAAAGTAACCTTTAATAAATGATAGGAACTAATTACTGTTGTCACAGATAGACTAAACTTTGATAAGAAGGAATCTTACTTTTGATAAATGGGCAAAATAAAGTCAAATTTTGTGTGTGCAATGTTTTGCGACTCTGAATCCAGTTTGGACCGGTGATATTTGTTACTGCAATTTTATTTGGGAAATTGTTAATGAATTTGTTGATTTTTTTTTTACATATTTATTTTAATAAAAATTAATTACCAAGTATACTAGTATGGATGTAATTTTAATATTTGTTTTCCCATATTATCATTAATAATACAATATTCTTCTTCATAAATTGGATAAAAAAAATTGTTAACAATTTGAGTACCAGTAAGTCAGTAACTTGCGATAAGTGATAGATGTTACACAGTTTTCTAAATACTTCAAACAGTTTTTATAATAATATACTATACCTATATAGATTGTACAGTTTATACGAAACCGAAAACCCATTTGCAGGTATAGTTCTTCGTAGCTCGATGACAATGGAAGTCATCCCATTTTATTGCATTATGCGCTTGTTCCTTGGTTAACTTTTTCGATATTTATGTTTTAATTTTAAGCAAGTTCTCACACCTTTATTGACATGCTGAAACTACTTATTTAATAAATTTCTCAGTCACAAATTATTCTGCTTTGTCATAATAATTAAGTCATATTTTCTTCAAGCCACGATATGTAACACATACTTTGCCGGCATAATTATTACTGTTGTACAAGACGTTTCATTAACCTCATTTACCTCAGGATTAGATATCAAATTTTGGTGCTTGCTCTTTTTAAATCACTCGTTAACACAAGCACTAAATAAGGCCATTATAGTAAAGGAATCCTGTTAATAAGATAGAATTTGCTTGCCTTCTTTTCTCGCATAGCCTGTAAACTCTTTCTTATGTTGTTCTATTCAGAAAAAATTCAATCCTGCGATATAAAGGTTGCATCACGTTTTATAAATGCTATAATGTAAAGCATTAATTGCGTGTAATGTCAACTAAAACTTATTACTTCATCTTGTCTGCTTTTGAAACTAGATTTCATCTTACTTACCGGTACATTGTCATATATCCTCATTGACAATAAGATTACAAAATTTTCATCTTTTTTTCAGGTAAACGTCGATTCAACATAAAACTTTGGAAAACTTTCACCGATTGCTTCAATTGTCTTCCTATAGCTGCTATTATTGATGAAAAAATATTTTGTTGTCATGGAGGTGAATGTTTACTCAGAATAGATAGTGATTTGTTATTACTTATATTATGATACATGAGTTCATAATGATAAGCATTATTAATGACATGTAACATAATAATAGATAAAAATAAACAAATAAAACTGATTATAGAATCAACAGAGCTAACAAAATCTGAGTAAGGTTTATTGAATAAAAAAATTTGAATAAAAAAGTGTTTTAGTGAGATGTGGTACATGTTCACTCATCTGCAAATTACTGGGCGCACGCTCACACACATACAAACTAAGGAGATAAAATCAAAACGAGAATAATTTAGGTTATTATCAAATTGAATTAAAATAAAAAACCATAACAGAAGAATTGTTTGCTTGGTGTGATTGATTGTTCAATGTAATTGATCTTGATATATGGCCACCTATTTTAATGAAAACAACAGCAGTATAAGCATGGTAAATTTTAAAGTGAGATTTCATTCGTTTTGGGATAACTACTGACGATGTGTCACTGTTTAATTTGGATATATTGAGTCAAACTCTAGCTTTGTGATGTGAAAAACATTCTTCATTAAAATATAGTGCGGTTATAAACAAGCTTTCTCTACTCTGTCTCAACTCTCAAGTATGAAACGTTCCTGTTTTAATTTTGCCCCTCTGTTCAAGTTTTATCTATATTTAGTAGCCTACTTGTACATATGCGATGTTGCATATATGAAACTGCTTTATCGAATATATGCAGGATAGTAAATTTTTCAGTAATGGTTTTCTGTTTACCATCTGTTTAAATCTTTTCAGGATTGTCGCCCGATTTACAAACTATGGATCAGATTCGTAGGATAATGAGGCCAACAGATGTTCCAGACACAGGTTAGTTTTTCATTGTTGCATGGTAGGACCCCGACTTGTGTTGGAAAAAATCCAAAACCCACTGGCAGTCCTATTAAAAAAATTAATGTTTATTATGTAGTGTAGTTTTTTTTCACTTTGAAAATGTATTGGACCATAACAAAGTATCTTTCAGACGGTTTTCAATTTTTCATTAGGACTTCTATGTGATTTATTGTGGGCTGATCCAGACAAAGACATAGCTGGTTGGGGCGAAAATGACAGGGGAGTTTCATTTACATTTGGCCAAGATATTGTCAGCAAGTTTTTAAACAGACATGATTTAGACTTGATATGCAGAGCTCATCAGGTAATTTTCAAACTTTTACATTTTTTTTCTTGTGGAATTTATTTTCAGATTGATTATCTTGTAAATTTGTTATCAATAACATTAGGATTTGTGCGAAAACTATTCTACTAATATTGTAGTGTATTAGCCAATATATAATATACTACCATATATAAAACAGAGAGCAGCCTTATTTTTTAATTCTGCCATCTTACTTGCAACTGGCAGATCAGTATGAGAATGTTTTATACGTAAGCCGTCTCTTCACAAGTTCAGATAATACATTTTCCTCGATTCTTTTGGATTGAACAGTACTTAGATTTCAGCTGACAAGAAATTTGAACTTGGATGCAATTCAATCATTCACGATAAATATTAAACCAGGACTTGTCTCTTTATAGATTACAATGGTGATTGATGTATTTTTGATAGTAGAATACCTGGCCAAACTGAATATAAAAAGCCTACCCCACTCCCAGTGGCAATTACCTGGAAAAATTAAAATGGCACATTGGTGTGGTGTATCGTGCTAAAGCGTGTCCGGAATACGCTTGCCACGGCACCTCTGATTACCCTGAGAGGATTCCTTGGTTCGAATCATGTGCGGAATAATTATGTGCAAGCAGATTGCTGAACTCTCGCTGCCGTTGGGCGGTTCATGTAAGCGCTGATTGGTTCCAGTTTCCACCACCACCAAGTTCATGCACCCCAAACACAAATAACTGGCTAACAAAAGTCGAATGATAAGTTTTTTAAATTAGTAAAAATATATTTATATGTATATTTGACTGAGGGCCGTGTTTTGGGTCTTTGGTTATAATGTGGAATATATTCCAATGTGAGGGATACTATCAAATGGATTTGCAAACTGGATATTTACTGACTTTTATGAGGTTACATAGTATGATCCGAGTGATTTATTCCAGCGTATATTATGCATTTTATCCTGCAATTATTAAATTTCATAGAGATATTTCTCCAGAACTAAAATATAGTCTCAACAAGAATATAGTCTCATGTGTGAATATTAATCATTGAACTTATTAAATGCATTTGACTCTATCACAAATGAAATACCGTTCGCTAGCAACGGAATAAACCAAACAAATTATTTCACATTGAAAGGTTGTTGAAGATGGATATGAGTTCTTTGCAAAACGCCAACTGATCACACTGTTCTCTGCACCTAACTATTGCGGAGAATTTGATAATGCCGGTGGTATGATGAGTATTGATGAGACATTACTCTGCTCATTTCAGGTACGATATGCAGACTATTATATCTAAAATGATGCCATGACTTTATTTGAGGGGATGGTTGCACTACACATCTGCACCAATACTGGGAGATTAACTGAGTTAGCATAGAACACTGTAGATTATTGACAGAATATATCGTAACATGCAGTCTTCAGTGTAGATAAGGCTAAAGTTCAGACTGACATCCATATTTAGATTGGGATTTGTAACTGTGAAATTAATTGCTTTCTTATTGTTTTCTAAAAGACTGAATTTTTTTTCAAGATATTGAAACCTGCTGAGAAGAAAGCCAAATATCAATATGGAGGGTTGAACTCTGGAAGGCCGATAACTCCTCCAAACAAAATTAATTCAGGAAAAAAATGATTTGAAAAAGAAGTGTTTTCAAATAAACAATACTGCACTTCCATGTACTGAACATGCTACACGTATGCATGCACATAACAGTATTTACCACTATAAAATAAAGATGTAACGTTGTATGGTAGCATTGCAGTTGCAAGAGTCATTGATGCTTGTACAGAAATTATATATACATACTTTCTTTTTCTTCTTAATAACATCAACAAGGAGTCAATATATATACCTGTAGCTATTCAAACTAGAGGATAAAATATAACTGTAAGATGCCCAAATTCTATGATTTGCAAAAAAATTTGAATATGTCATGGTTTTACGTGCAATTGATTAAACGTTGATTAAGCACAGGAATTCTGGCCGTCAGTTACTCAATGTGTATAAGTGGATTAAACAAAAATAAGCTGTTTCATCAATGTTCACTGCATGTTTCCATCTGATTCCTAAAAACATATGCTGCATTTATTTATCACTCTAACATGGCTATTCAGATTGATTGTTTCCCTTTATTGCTATAAACCTTCAAGCAATGGTACCAAACATTAAGTAGATTACACTATTAACCATGAGAAAAGTCATACTGTCTTTGGGCAGGTTTTATCAGGAAAATTCTACAAATTTTATTTTATTTTCCTGTCTTACACAGCATTATTGTTGATTAACCAAATAATTCAAATTGTGGAGCTCGATGCCACATTTTTATTTGACTGACATTTCCTGCAAATGATTTGATTGTGCTGTTTTTAGTTTTATATCAGATGCCGCCTGAAGTATTTTAGGACGAAGTCGATTCTCTTTTTTTTAACCTGTATTTGCTTTCTTGTCAATACTAATAGGGGATCGTCGTAATGTCCTTTATGCTTGGCGAAATCATTAAATTTTATTCCAGAAGATGCCAATCTAATTATCACTTACCCTTTAATCAGAAACCAAGTTTGGAATAATTTTTTAGTAAATTGAAATTGTTTTTTGTTTTGTTCTGTACGTGAATTACAATAAAATGATTCTTTTCTTATTAGGTATTATCTTATCCAATACAAGTGGGGGATTCGGCAGGGCAGTTATATGTAGTAACTCATAATTAAGTGACCACCCTGCCTTCGATCATTTCACAACCCAATACTATCGGTATCGGCCGTCGTTGTTGGAAAGGAAACCCGCGATGTGTGTGACCACTCTATTACTTACACTAAAATCTATGTAACAATGAAAGACTCGCCGATATTAGCGTTAGTCCGTAGTTTTCTATCGCGGTTCAAAGCCGTTTTTGTTCCAGCTTCGAAGCCCGAGGTGAGAACCAAAATACCGTACCGTCGCAGAATAAAGCGCTTGCCGTGGTATAAATATCGTATTCATGCGTTTTAACGTTGAAGATCGGCAGCAACTGGAGTTGTGGACATTAAAAAATACGTTACCGATTCCGGGATTTCGACGCGTTTTCAATTTGGTAAACTACCGGGTTTTCAAGACAAGCATTCTCTTGCGTACCGAGCCCAGGAAATAACCAGATATGACTTACATACCAATTACTCTACAAAACTTTGTATCGCTGAGTAACTCAATGGTTCCATTATCTTTATACCCACGTGCATCTGTACCCGTACATTTAAACCGGCCTGCTGAAATTACGTTCACTTATCTATGATTTGATGTATAGGTAAGTAGTAGTATCAACGTGTCATTATGACCAATGAAGATATATATATTCTCATTGGTATGACACATGAAAATTAATGTGCCACGGACATACATTGTACTTGTCCGGGTCCCGCTCGGATTTTCTCTATACTTGGTGGACCAACTTTACTTACATACAATGCTTCACCAAAATATAATCGACAAAATTGTTTTCTTGTATGTTCGAGCAATTTGAGTTATTAGGATTGCATGATTGCCCCACGGTTGGTCCTAGAAATTCCTTTCTCGCCCTTAACATTAGAAATCAGCCGCCGATTCAAGAAATTTCAGTTGTGAGCTGTGACTACATTTTCGAAACATAGGGGCGGGTGCGCTTAAGGCGTGCATCTCTTGTTACATCAAAACTATTAGCGACAAAGTTGTTTTCGCGACAATTCGAGGAATTTCAGTTCTTGGCATGGATGGTTGTCGGACAGCTGATCCCTGAAAATTCTTTCCTTACCTTTACCATTGTAAAAGCAACTGCTGTAAAAAGAACTAGCAACTCATTTTAGCCTAGTTTATTTCAGATATTTCTGGTCCAATTTAATTATAACTGCTCCTGAACCACAACTCATCCGAGAAGAAAAGAGATCATTTTAGGGTGCTTCTGAAGTATGCCCACCAAGATGTCGCATAACCTGAACCCAATCCTTGTACACAACCTGAGTTCAGATTGTGCGCCATCTTTGTGCGCATACTTCAGGAGGTCCCATTTTATTTATACTTAAAATTCCAAACATGAGTAAACGATGACGAGTTTACAACCATGATTAGAAATATGTTTGAGAGACTGGTTGAAATTTCATTGTTACGTTACCTTTATAGCATATTACTCATAATTGGTTTGAGTGATTTCCCATTTTTACAGAATGCTAAACAAAAAACATTTTTTCTTGACTTCTGAATGAAGGTTTACTGATTTATGTAGATCTAAGTACTTCGATGGTCTCTAACAAATTCCTTTTGTTAATATACAGTAATTAATGGGTGTGTGTAACTTGACTTACAAATTCTAATAAATTTTATGTGGGCGTAGGTCAAAAATAAGTGGGTTGTACAAGAACATGGAATTAGGTACATACGTTTTGAAGGTATACTCGTTTTTCGGTATATATAGCCAATAGGTATGTTTTCTACTAGCGTCTGTCAGTTCGGGTATAAGAAAGCCTGCTTATGATTGTGAACGTTTGTATCACGCAGAGCATAATCTATTGATTAGATTATCAAAAATATTGTAAAATTTATATTAACGATGACGTGTTGTTTGCTTCAGGCGCACGGTTACGCGAAGTAGATAGAAAAATATCGTGCTGCGTTTTCTCAATACCGGTGAATTTTCTCAATCTAGGAGAACATGAAATAATTTCGGCGATAATCTACAGCAGTCAGAGATATGTATACGTTTAATATTCCGAAAGGCAGGTAGGTGATGAGAAAGTGTCATTCTGCTTGGAGAAAATCCTGATATCAACTAATATCGTTGTACAGGTGATGGGTGAATCTGTATGCACCTCAAAGCGCGTCGGCAGTTGCTTAAACCCGGCTATCAGCAGATTTATACTTTTAGCTACAGGCACAAAAACTTGAGCAAGATGTCTAAGAAAAGATGAGTGTTAGATTATAGTTAGGGCTTGGGTAAACCTCGGAAAAAATTTGAATTATTTAGATTAATGTGATCAGATCAGAAAGTGCAAACATTGTTCATAATCTTTGGTCTGTTTTTCTTTGCAGTCCACATTGAATATTCTTCTTTTTGATATTAATACTATACTTGTAAACTGATGACAAATGGCAAATATTCAATGCATCAGGATATATTTCCTAGTTTTAGTTACATCCGGAGCGAAAGCGATCTTGGTTTACAAAGTCGCAAAGAAATCTGCGCCTCGCAACCGACTGCGTTAAATATTACTATTATTATAGATATTTCAATCAAGTATGTCCAATTGAGAAGTGAACCATGATTGCGAAATATATTCTGGTTCATGTATGACATAGAGATAAATATGGCTGATGTGGTCTCAAGAATTGCCCAATTTATCCATTCACAGTCTTACGCACGTTTCAATTTCTGAGCGGAAGTATTTGAGTTGAAATTATTTGAATTTTCCTCTATGGGGTCATTCAAGTATTGCAATTACTGAATTTTCAACCCAAATCACATAGAAACTGATATGAAAGGCACTTGGTCTATACACTGAATGAAATGACGTTACGCTTAGTACGCACCCAATAAGATTGGTGAACGACATCTTGGCGCTTTCTGGTATTCGTTGCCAAATCAATAATCTATGGTTGCCAACATCACTATCAGTATGTATATGTAGTAAACAATCTGATTTTAAATACTCGCCGTAGTCTTTCGTGTGATAAATCAGAAAAAAAAAATTAGCCAAATAGTTTGTTTGTTTTATTTAAAAAAACAGGAGGCGATGACACTAATTTTTTTTAAAACAAACATATCAGTCGTCAGTGTACTAAGTACCGTTTGCATATATTACTTCTAAATATATTGGCGTTGTATATCCGAATTGGAAATATCATAACCATTTGATAAACATGCAAGAACAGTTGAATCAAATGATCAGGCAGCAGTCAGAACAATTTTAAGTTTGTAGTGTAAATCACAGGCAGAGGTAACTTTACAGGTTAAAAACTTATCATGTTTTGTAAGATTGGAATATTCAGTGAGAAGATAGATGTTATAACGTCATTTTCACGTGATGATAAATAGCAACAAAAGTTACCTCGGGTTTTTGGATTCTATATCATTTTAAAATCAAAATTTACGAAAAGTGTCTGCTTTCGCATTAATTAAGTTAGTTGAAATTTATTTTTGATTTATGCATGTGAAGATACTCAGTGAGAAACATTGGGGAGACGTTTCAATAAAAACTCCTTAATGTTTTTGATCCGTGGAATGATCGAAATTATTGTGCAACTAATATTTACTGCTTATTAATAAATTATATGTTGACAGTGTTGAGAAAGCCGTAATAATGATCATTCCAATAATATTTTCGATAATAGTATTTCAATCAGCATCCTTCTGCGTTGGTTATGAGAATGGTGAGCTTGACATAAGTATTTCACATTTCTTTCAAGCTTAATTTCAGTTGCTTTTCTCTCAACATAAACCCGTAAATAAATTCTCCAAATGGGAAAATAGAATAAATTCATAGGATGAATTTTAACATTCAATATATTTACTTGTTTGATACTTGCTGATCATAGTTTACTGTTTCATATTTTACTGTGTATGAATCCACCAATATATCCAATTCTTTCTTGCTTGTAACAATTTATTTTGCTAATAGTCTCCTTTTCGAGCGAGTGAAATGTATTCTCGTTTAATAATCTTCTATGAAGATGTTAGTAAATTGTTTGAAGGCAAGTATTTCTTACTCGATATGAGCGAGAGCATTTCAGCGGGAAATTCATGCCAGGATCGATTTTGTCAAGCAGTAATGACAACTGGTAGTTTATATACAATTATAAACTTTTTCAAACTTACAGTAACATTCGAATCGGGAATGCAAGAGGGCGATGTAATAGAGTTAAGGGGTCGTCTATCATCGCAATCAAGACCCTTTTTGGTAGAATTGGCTTCCGTAGACCAACGTAATTACTACCTGAGATTTTTTGTTCAAGGAGTGAGACGACGGGTAATTATGATAATAAGCAATTTTGGAGCTCCAGAAGTATGTGCACCAAGATGGCGCACAACCTGAACATAGTATGTGTACCAGGTTAGGGTTCCGGTTGTGTGCCATCTTGGTGCACATACTTCGGGAACCCGAAATTTTAATAATGTACAAGATTATGGATGCTGAACTAAAATTTATCAATGTTTCTGAATAAAAGTGTTTGTGTTTTACTTTTTTGAGCAAAAGCTATAATATCCGAAATAGCAATACCTCAGAATGGGAGAAATCGGAATTGAAAAAAAAAAAAATTCAAATACAACAAAGCGAACGTGGGAATTTCAAACATCATCAACCCACCCATGATTGCAATATAGGTAATATTAATTTAAACAATATTTTTTTTCAGTTTGAAATACGGTCTACGTATCCTGGACTAGTTAAGAAAGTCATCCCGTCTTCAACTGTTCAACGAGGAAGTGAATTCAAATTTTTTCTGAGATTTCACAACAACGCTTTAATTTTCGAGTATAATGAGAAGCATGTCATGGAATTGCCGTGAGTGAGAGTGAATTTGTTACCATACGAGATATTTTTCACGTCCGATTATAAAAACAAGACATTTAAGTAGTCTCAATGATTGGCCGTATACGAACAATGGGATCGGCAAAGTATACTGACCCAAATATTGCAGTCGTAAATATTAAAGAATATGTTACATCCAATCGCTTTTTTTGGGGTATTTAAACAAATTATTTACAATGACAATTGAAATTCATTTTATAGCGTGAATCATCCGATCCGAATTGCAAATATTAGAGGGCAGTATAAGAGGGCTGCGATTACAAAAGCCAAATGGTATCAATGTAAGAATTTTGATATTATTTTTTTCTGAATTAGTATTACAATTGTTCCTACACCTACTCATACGTCATAAAACGAACTTGTTCCTAATCATACCTCGTTAGTAGTTAACGTCCACAGCATCAGTTCTCCGGTTATAGATCAAGGTCAAATGCAATATATATCTATAATTTAATGATAAAAAAACAGAAACACGTTCCCCCTATATTACCTATATAAGTTAATATTTTATGCTCCGCCAAAATCACTTTGCTTTTTACAGATTACTGTAATAGCGCACCAGTAACTAACTGCGGGCGCACAATCTATAATAGTCGTATTGAAAAGGGTCTCTGTCAAGCAAAGGTCGTTGGACCTCTTCAGCGAATTGTAGGCGGCGCGCCATCTAATGCGGGCGAACACCCATGGCAGGTACGTTGATTCATAAAACAGATTTCAGAAATGTAATTGTTATCACTATCAGTTGTTTGCCATCGTTGCTCAATATAAAGTTACACTGAATTCATTTTCACATCATCGTTTATCCATTACTAGGTATCATTTCGAAAAAGAGATGCCAACGCAGGTGAACATCCTCATGTTTGTGGTGGAGTTTTGATTGACAGTTGCTGGGTACTTTCAGCCGCACACTGTTTTATTCAGGATTCGTAAGTTTGAACATTTTCTTGATTTCCTCATTTAAATTTACATAATTTCTATATTGTTGTGACAAGCTTATTACTTATTTTTCTGTGAATGAGTGAGTATTTGTTTTACTCAAAGGCATTTCCTAATCTACTGATATTGTTTTGTGTTGCAGCGCTAGTGACGATTTTGTAGTCCGAGTCGGAGATTATTATAATAGAGATGACACTTCTTCTAAATACTACAAAAGTTATGAAAATTCTGAGGAATTCAAAATAAAACAAGTACATAGACATTATCAGTTTTGGACGTACCCACAGCCGAGATATGATATAGCTCTTGTTCATCTGAAATCCAAAACAGGCGATGGAAGATGTGCTCAATTTGGGTATTAAAACATTTACTTATTTGACAGTTCCTTAAGGCGAAATAAGCCCGTGTTTGAATTCTATCCCAGTTGAATTATGGAAGTTACCATTTGCCAGAACGCATTATTCAAATAATTTGATATTTTATACAAGAATATTCATTGATCTGCAAAGAAATCTAATGGTCTAATATTTGAAAAACAAAAATGATAATTAAACAATACCCTAACTTTAGAGTCGTGTGGTGTGTAATTATATGCTTACTAGCTACTCTAGTAGAAGTTTACCAGAATGCAGATTCATCGTTAACGCCTGCACGAAAATGCCTGGTATTATGATTTATGACTTCATCATTTTATTTATACATTTTTTTTATCACATAAAGGTCATTTGTGCAGCCGATTTGCTTGCCGACGAGTACAGAAGAGTTTATCCCACCGCAAGAATGTGTCATCACTGGATGGGGAGCAACAAAATTCAAGCAAGGTTGAATTCATACCTAAATAAACACGGTTTTATGAATGTGGCTCTTATATCGAAGCATCACGTAATCTTATTGAACACTAATTTTGTTTGCTGAATTCTTGCTTTCGTTATTATTCTTGGTGATGTGGTTTATCTTGTAGTTATCGTTGATTTCACTTAAAGGGGAACACTTTTCCACTCCGTATTGCTCGACCGCCTTGGTAGTGCTTGTCCGTCGATATTTTCATCGAACTCAGTGCTCTTCGAGTCTATATATTTGAGCAATGCTCTCTTGTTTTCATTGATAGCTCTACCATATTAAACATGACATTCTAATCATTTCAAAGAAATGACTACTCTGATCGTAAATGAAATCCGATGTGGCAGAACTCAAATTGGTACAAATAGTTTCAAACAGAATTTCGTACAGTTTTATGCTTTAAATACAACAGTCTGTCAGATTAAACAATTTCTTTCAGACAAAAGAGAATATCCAGGTTGTTTGCAGCAGGCCGGAGTTTTTCTCATACGCGATTCCAGATGCAAATACGATTATCCGGATAATAAAGCTGGGCCTATCATCTTGGATTCAATGCAGTGTGCAGAGGTAAAAAAACTCACACTAATATAGTAATAAACACTTTATTTTAAAAGTATTTGCCTATGCGTGCAAAAATGCATGCGATCGATTATAAGTTAATAAAACGATACAAATACCACCCAAGTTGCCCACTTCCGTATAATTTATCCAGGTACCGTTTGCACCCTATGTATGATTTTGGTACGATGATTGCTTGTTACATCATAATATTTCGTGCGCTAGTGAGGAGTAGTTAGGTTCCAACATTTTTCAACAAATCCGCAGTGACCAAAATAAAGATTGAAAACGAATAAATTGATGGACAAATAAATATTCACTTATTTGTAGCCGAAAATTCAAAACTACTATGACTTGCGTACCGCAAAGTGGCGTCAGTTTCACTCTACAACAATCAAAGTTTAGAAACCTACTAATAGTTGCAATACAAATTTCCAACCTAATGGAAAGCACCTATATAAAACGGGAGCGGTTCCCGTACATTTGAACCCACGTACATTTGAACCCACGTACATTTGAACCCACGACAATTGCACCTGCATACTATTGCACCTATGGATTTTTTTTGTTTTGCGGATATTTGAACCCATACTAGCCCTAACCCATGGGTTTTAGCACCCGCATATAGATTGAACCCGCGGATATACACATGGGGCCAAATGTACGTGGGTTCAAATGTACGGTCACCAACGGGAGCAAACCTTTTCTGATCTGTACTCTCTGACGTTGTGAAATATTCTGGAAATATATAATTTAGTGATTGTTTCTAATTATAAGGAGTTTGTCGCCTGCAAAAGAATCGCCATTTCTTATTATAGGATGTTTGTATCGAATTAATCATGTTTTACACTGTTCAAACGTTATATTCAAAAAAAGATGACAAGATGTATTATCATGTTTTAATAATGATAAACTGAGCCCGTGAACAATTGATTTTGTTTGTTGCGGCCCTTTAGTTCATTCGAGTAGTACAAGCCCGATCGAACCGCTGGCGCAAAACATTTGAAAAAGGTGTAACAAATTTTAATTATTACTGTTGTTTTCTTATAGGCACCACAAAATAACGGTAGAGCCGATTCGTGCCAGGGAGACAGTGGTGGTCCTCTGACATGTACTCCGAATTCGGGATCTCAGGCGGGCCGATCAGTGGTGTGGGGACTGACTAGTTTTGGTGACGAATGCGGGAAAATGTACGGCGTATATACGAAGGTGGCAAGTTTTTTGGATTGGATTCAAGAGGAAAAGAAAAAGATGTGCAAATTCAATCCTTTCGAGCAGTAACAAAATTGATATTGTCAGGAATTGTAATGGATTTTTCTGCGAGCATCGACTTGATTGTTTATATCTGTAACTATGTCCAATCATCAATAAGTTGACGGTGGTGAAAACAACCAATTTATGCGCAGTCACTCAGAGACGCTTTTTTACTTCAATTGTCGCGCATGTTTCGTTTTCGTGGTTTTGCGTGCTTAATGTTAGTTTTTAGTCGTGTTTCTAAAACGTATTTATGATTCAAATAACCCAATAGTTATTGTGTCTCTAGATAAGTTTTGTTTTAGTTGCATGAGTAGTTGAATATTTCGAATCAAAATGATCGTCATAAACATGCAAACCAATTTAATATTGCCATCACGCCGAAACATCCCTTACAATCCATTTCAAATTTTCCAATGGTAAAGTATAGGAAGAAATTTATGTAGAATCTGACACGCATTCGAGAAACTTAAGCTGAGTTATACAGAGTAAAAATAAAAAGATGATTGTTTTATACTTTTAATTCTTTATATAAATGCATGTATATTATTGGAGGATCATCGAATACATACTGTTTATATATCAAGAACAATTATAATAAAGCAGTCGCATATTCGAGCTCAGCCGCAACAGGTCTATTCTGTAGGTAGTAGATATAATGTTTTTTCAAAACAACAACTGTCTGTCGCAATCCCCTTCAGCAAACTCTGTCGAATTTTCTAATATAATTGGAATAATATCAAATTACTCCGACTACGATTATTATCATTAAACTTTAAAATGACAAATAACTAGAAGTTAAATCTGACCTCGATCATTATTAGGACATAGGTGTCTGAGTCTGATAAAATCGAATGAATGAAGTGTCGACTAAAAACTATAGGGATGCGCTATTTGGCACAATAACTGTGCGCAGTGAGAAGATGTATTCCTCACATCAATCTGCTGACGAGGATATACAATTGCAGCCGATCTCATTATATATATATTGTGTTTTGTTATTTCATTGCTTGTTCTTCTCGTGACTTTGCTGACACATATATTGCATTTATGTATGAACTGTAATGACAGTACGAACTGCTCAAGTGGTACATTATTCGAAAAAGGTTGGAAACCACCGCAGTAAACACTGAATTTGCATTCGGATCTCATCCTATGCAATGACTAATGATAAAAGTAGAAAGAGTGACGGATTGACAGGTTATAAAAATAAAGAATTAATGATAGAAATTTTGCATTTTGCTGAGATAAGTTTCATTGTGGATCTGTTATTTATGATTCGTGCTCCATAATACTCAGTAGCTTGATCTCAGCAAGTATTTTATTTGGAGCCCGTAAAAACACTAACGTGTGTGCACATACTGCCGAAAATATGCATATAGGTCAACTCATATACATATAGCGCCAACTAAATAGGAATATAACAGCCAATGTCATATGCATAGCCATATACAGCCAACGTAATATACAAATAAGTATAATAATAAGTATAAGTTTATTTCGACTCCATAATCAGCAATAGACGATAAAAAAAATAGATAAAAACAAAAGTAAAAGTAACTGATTATAGAATCGGGAAAGCGAACAAACCCTAGAGTAAGGTTTGAAACGTACAGATTTTAGATGGAAAGGTATTGATAAAAGAAGTAGTACGTGTTCGCTCACCCAAAAGTAAAAAAAAAAACTAATTAAGGCACGCTCGCACACACACACACAATCATCGAGACATGATACTGTCGGAAGCGAAAAAAGCGAGACTTGAAAGTAAAAAGGAAGTAAAATATACAAACAAATAAAAAAAAATGAATAAATTCTTTTGCCACACCAAATTAATAATTTTATGAGGATTGCCAAATTGGATACCGAATTAGTCAACAAGAGTTAATGTATTGTGGATAGAAAAGTATTCCTCAAAAGATATCGTCAAGCTGATTATAATTGGAGTCACCTAATGCCAAATTGCCCAATCAGAATTGCCAAGTTGGATGTATGAAGAGGTGGGCTAGACCTGCTTCACTCATCAAATAGAAGCCACAACAAGCCAAATAACGTCCAAATTATTTTAAATACTATTAATCAATAACAGTACCGGTAATCATAATTAAAATTAATTAGGGCGGTATGATACAGAGGTAGGAAAATTGGTTAAGGGAATATATATGGTGTTTAAGGTTCAAGTAAGGTTTCTAGGGTCATGGATTATAGGCAAGTAACTTTAATTGAGGTTGTTGATCCCTGCGGTCAGTTCAAATTCATCACGGATGATTCATCAGTCTGCAAGTTTTGTTGATGTATACACCTTTCATGTTGACATAGATAGCATTTAAATTGATCATCATGACGTCCTGAAAACGAAAAAATATATCTGCGGAGTACAATATTCAATGATTGCAAATAAGGAATCAATAGAAAACTACCCTACACCTTTGAGTGGAAGTTGTTGAATTGTGTAAATATTGATTAATATTAATTAAATATCATTAGACTGCTAGTTGAAAGACCTGAGAAAGAAGAGACTGTGGTTGGGACACAAGAGAAATTGTTCACAAACCATGCGAAAACCTTTCGATGTCGGTCAAACCACACACATGTATGCCATTATCTTCATTAGTCATTAACATCACACTAACCTTTACGCATTTGCATGCTATACACAGAATAAATTCGACCAAGGATAAAAACTTTGTACACACGCAGGACACAGCATATAGTACTACAGCAAGTTAAAATGTAGGGGAGAATCCAAATATACCTCGACTGGGCACCTAATTACAATATTAGGTACAGGAGTTAAATTATACCGTCTACAACCCTCACAAAGAATCACACCACCCAAACAGAAAAACAAAGTTCACGCATGTGGAATATCAGAAACCCGACATTGAAAAAAAAGGAAACATGCGCATGCAGATATCAGAATGTGAACAGCCATATTAAGGAAAATCTTATGCTATAGAACAAAATAAATGGCCAACTAGAGTGCAAAACAGATGGAGAGAGCTCAACTGCTTGTTCAAAATTAATTAGTAATCTCAGAAACAATAACAATAGGGGAGAATCCAAATATACCTCGACTGGTCACCTAATTACAATATTAGGTACAGGAGATTAATTCCACTGTCTACAACCCTCACAAAGAATCACACCACCCAAATAGAAAACAAAGTTCACGCATGTGGAATATCAGAAACCCAACATTGAAAGAAAAGGAAACATGCACATGCAGATATCAGAATGTGAACAGCCATATTAGGGAAAATCTTATGCTATAGAACAAAATAAATGGCCAACTAGAATGCAAAACAGATGAGAGAGCTCAACTGCTTGTTCAAAAATAAATTAGGCAATCTCAGAGACAATAACAATGTTATGGCTGTTCAACATTCTCATGAAAACAATAAGTATGTGCAAGTGCTGAGTGTCCCAACTTATGTCATGGTCTTTCTTTTGAAGTTGTAGCTAATTACATACGAAAAATATATAACAGTGTGATTCTAATAATAAATTTTAATATTTTGATACCAAGTAGGACTTGACTTTTTTGAAAAGATTTTTTGGATTTCAATGTCTTCAAATTCAAGGGGAGAGAATTCCACAGCTTGGGCCCAGTATAACATAAGGCATGCTGGCTCACAGATGTACTCATAAAAGGTATGAACAGGTTGGAACTACTTCTTCGATTGGAAGTAATTTTAGTTAGTATGTCGTCGAAGCAGTTTGGCAAGGAATTGTTATGGAAATCATGGACTAATGATAATACTTCAAATTTCATTATATCTTCAACTTTGAGTATATTTAGCTTTTTATAGAAATGGTTTACACTTTCACGTTTACCTTTCCTAAAAAGAATTCTTAAAAAATTATTACAAATACTTTGCAATTTTGAGACAAGTGTTTTATTACCATGGAGCCAGACTGAGCAACAATATCGGATATGGCTGAGTAGTAATGATTGAAACATTGCTAGTAAAGCTGATTGATTAACACACTGGGATACTTTGGCAGCAACTGCCAAGTTTCTTTTTGTTTTACCAATAACATGCAATATTGTGATTTCCAAGACAGATTTTCATCAAGATAACTCCTAGAAATTTTATTTCTTTCACTCTTTCAATTTCATTGCCATTGAGCAGCAGTGGTTTTGACAACTCACACTTTTATGCTTGCTTGGATGGAATAATACAAATTTAGTTTGTTAGCATTAAGAGATAATTTATTAACTAACATCCAGCTATGAATGTTGGTAGTTCTTGTTTGCAACTGTGAACAGATCTTCAAGGTTTTCCCCATGAAGAATCAAGTCAGTGTCATCAGCAAACATGATTGACTCAGAGGATTTCAGACACCTGGACATGTCATTAATGTAAGCTAGAAAAAATAATGGGCCAAGTAAAGATCCTTGTGGAACTCCGTGCTTCATGACACAAATATTTGTAGAGAATGAGTTGTCATATTGCACAATTTGTTTTCTGTCTTGCAGGTAGCTCCTGATCCAATTGAATGGGACGCCTCTAATTCCATAGTGATAGAGCTTACTTAAAAGGATGGAATGGTCAATGGTGTCAAAAGCTTTTGAAATATCAAGAAATATTCCAATTGCATGTTGTTTGCCTTCAAACGCCTTGGTCAGTTTGTGTACCAAAACATTAGCAGCCATAGCAGTGGAGTGATGCTTGCGGAAACCAAATTGATGCGAGTGGAAAACATTGTTAGTTTCAAAGTAGTTTGACATTCTACTATACATTATTTTTTCAAGAATCTTAGAAAACGATGGTAAAGACTAATAGGTCTATAGTTTCCAAGATCTGAACACTACCCTTTTTAAAGAGGAAGAACTTTAGATGTCTTGAAACTTTCAATGAATAATCCACTAGATAGTGAAGATTAAATATGTATGCAGAATATCAATGATGTGTTCTGGAATATATTTCAATATTTTGAATGGAATACCATCGATTCCAAAACTTGACTTGGGCTTCATTTCGCGTATAATATTTTTTATTTCTAATGATGTAGTTGGCCTTAAAAACATGGATGAGATTCTTGCTTCCCAAGATATGAAATGTAATTTTTGTCACAGCCAGCTGGTTGTGGCATACAGTCGAGCAATCTTTGTGCCACTTGGGAAAAGTGTTCATTAAATTTATTTGCAATTTGTGTATTACTGCAATCAAGTCCAATCAAAGGACAAGAATTGTTTTATTTTTACCAATAGTTCATTAATTGTTTTCCATACTGCCTTATGTTGCCTTTGTGAGAGGCAAATTTGATATAATAATTGATTTCTTTTTATGGAGAATCGAGTATAAAGGTTCCTGCATTCATTGAACTAATGTGACTTGTGTTTGTCATATGTTTTTATTGTTTATTAATTTCTTATAAAGTTTTTGTTTGACTTTGTTGAGTTTGCGTAACTCAGTATCATACCAAGGTTTGTTTGATCTGTTTGTTGTGTTTGTAAGGAAAAGATGAGAGTAAGCAGTAGAGAATTTCAAAAAATTTTCAAAGCATGTTGGATCCTGGATGCTGTTGAAGTCATCAATATCAATGAATTCAGTTCATTTAAAAGTATTCAAGTTGGACGAAGTAAATGGCGACGAAAGCGTTTCAATTCTGTTTGAATTTGCTTTTCTAGAGAGAGCATTGTACAATTGGCAATGATCAGAAATACATTCTGCTAAAACAGCACTGTTAATTTTTTTATCATATACGTTTGTCCAGATGTGGTCTATACAGGTAGCAGAACTTGAAGTTATCCTGGTGGGACAGTTTATCAGAGAATAATAGGCCAGGTGTGCATAATATCAACAAATAGGCTGGTATTCATATTGGACTCATCAATAAGATTATAGTTGAAGTCACCCATTATATAATTATAATTCAACCTGTTCATCTTTGAGAGAACTTGGGACAAAGATTCTAAAGTTAGCATTGTTCAATTCATCAGTTAGTGGTGATCTATATATAGTACCGCAGGTTATTGTTTTATTTTCTAATGATATGTCAATAAATATGATTCAAAAACCTTCTCACACATGATAGTAATCCTTACGGACAATGTATTTCAAATCATTTCGAATGTACAGACCAACACCACCACCTCGGTGATGAGATCTACTATTAGAGATGAAAACATATCCATCCAATGCATTGAAATGGCCATTTGTACAGATACAATCCATGTTTCATTT